GAAGAGAAAAAATAATAAAGACACTCACTAGGCAATCTCTTCTTCACTATCAACATCAGTATCGGTTTTTAAAGTTACAAGTTTCAAGGTTACAACTACAAAAGATGTTGCCCCAACATATAGCAGGAGCTTAGGGTATACAAATTATAGTGGAAATTACATATATGCCATTAATAGTAGTATTTTCTTCTTCACTTTAACATGAAAATTAAACTACTAGGGTTTGTCCCAGTGGCCACCTTTCCTACTTGGGAAGGGGGAGGTGGGGAGTTCGAATCCTCACCTTCTCAAGGGGGGCTAAGGGTGGGAATGTGTAGTTTCAGATGTGAGTTTCGATTTCCACGCTTTGTAAGAGGCAAGGCAAATATCTGAGAGTGAGTTGAGAGTTAGAGTAGGACAGACAAAAAAAACATGAAAATTACATGTATCTCTTTAGCAGTAAAAAGCCTCTCTGCTTTAATATTGCTTTCGTCTATTAGACTCCACAACTCTATCACTATTTTTGCTTGAATGACGAAAAAAACAAGTTTAATATGAATCTCTCAATGGCTAGCATTTCGCAGTAAATAGCATTAGCAGTTCCCGTTTGTCTTGAAAAACCAGCCATCCAACGTCCCATATGATCTCGAAGTAATCCTCCACTGGTAGCTACTCCGTTTTACACATCTGACATTCCTTATGTATTGAGTTGTACAACTCTGTCGCCTGGGTCTTCTAGATTTGGTTTCTTCTGGCCCTTTTTCTCTTAGCTCCCTTCTTATGAATCACCTGCTCGAGCCAGATAGATAGAAGTTAGATTAGCAGAATAAGAACCATTATGGGACGCCAGTTTATTCTTCCAAAGGGTTCAGAGCCCCATAAGTAGCCAGCCTTCCTCCACCCTTTGCAGTAACACAAATGGTCCATGTTATGGGCTTTATCTCAGCTGACAATACCGGCATCGATACTAACATGATGTAAAGATATTCATTTTATGATCGAGATCTAAAATCCAATGTCATTAGTAGCTTAATTTGATTGGATTACTAGTCTCAATTCGATTTCGAGTCCATACCCGGCCTCCCAGCAGTTAAAGTACCAAGGACATGGACTTCGGCAAAGGAAACACGAGGTTGTATGGAATAGATCTGTATGGTGAGCTTAAATTGTTAATTGTTCTTATAGGCCCTGTTCGGTTAGTTGGAATGAGTAAAGCGAAATGAAATTAGGGTTAATACCAGGAAACATCCCAAATTGGTACATTAGTTTCACGTTTACCTCAAATTAATTTTATTTCATCATATTGGTACATCAATGCCACATTTAATCAAAACTCATTTTTGTATCACAAATAAATCACAAACAATGTGTACCAGTTTGAAATTTTTTGTGGTGTCAAGCTTTTGGCGGTTGCCCGCCAACTACAAGTGAGGACCGTGATGCCCTTCGACGAGATCCGATGAGGGCCGCAAGGCCCTTACCTATAGCCGGCCATAACAATCGGTGACCGGCGAAGGGAAATAGGAAAAAAGAAATAAGAAAATTGAAAGTAAATAAAAGGGGAAAAAGGAAAAATTCAGAAAATTTTAAACAAAATACAATAATTGTCCATGCTAGTGCTGGCCATCACTGTGCCACATAGGACAGCCGGCATCCACATTAATGATTTCTGCTATATTGGAAAACCATTGAAAGGTCTATGATGAAATTAGCCAATTGAAATGTTTAAGACTAAAGTTGCTGCCGTATAATAGGTATATAACTTTTTGGGCAATTATTCCACTCTATACATAATGGAAATGTATGCAGAATTAGCCGGAGGATTGTTTGGGAAATTAGTGCATGTTTCATTACAGGTTCACTTGGCACCTCAAATTGGAAATTGACCTTGATGCAAGCTTTTACTTCGTAACTACTTCGATGGCTAATTATTTATGAAGCTATTATTAATCTTCTAGGTCAAATAATTTCATATTTGACCGACTAACCCCAAAATTTGATCCCGTCATAGCGATAGTCACCGTCATTGTCATGTTTTAGTTATCTATTAGACACAGTTCTGACTTGTCCACAAACTTTGTATATGCTCGGGATATTGTTTGATAATTCCATTAAGTTGTTTTTCAAAAATATAGAATCATGAGCACAAAAACTCGACTACCTAGAGGCCCATGGAACACCCGATTAAGTTCAGTTCTTGAGTTGGGAATCCCTGACGCGCAACCATCTGTGCCGAAAGAGGTGGTTGCAATTGACTAAGTTGAAATGAAAGACTAATAAACAAGGGAGAAAAAAAGAATGGCCCAGCTACTCCCTCCCTCCCTCCCTCTCTCCTTAAAACTAGTAAGTGCTTTATCATCTAAGAGAGTAATTTCAAAACCAGTCCATTGCAAGGCATTTTGGCATTGGATTTCAGGCGTGTCAACCCCGAAAGCAGAGGCACGATCTGTCATTTGGAAATCTGGAAGCAGTTTATTCAAAATAAGTTCTGAATGAGACCGTTAAGAGGAATCATCTTCTTGATTGGCCCTTATGTATCAACAGAGTATTAAACCATAAGAAATCTGGCCAAAACATATGATGAAAAACGTCCAAGGACTCGAGTTCCATCATCTGATCAAGTGCTCCGATGTAAGGCCAGGCCAGATAATAGAGAGAAGGCAGCACAAACAAACCAAATGCTTTGTCATCACAAGTTCTCATCCCTCAAGGATATTTAGAATCAAGCAATGAACGTAAGCTTAATAAACTTGCAGAAACACTCGCAAAGACAAACACAGAACAGAGGCATGTAACTATCTCTCCGGTTACATCTTATCATCTGAATGAATCAGAACCCAAATGATTTTAAGGATGGATTTGATGGCGCAAGACCACTAGCTAAGAAACCATTATGTGTGTCCTATCATCTGAATGAATCAGAACCCAAATGATTTTAAGGATGGATTTGATGGCGCAAGACCACTAGCTAAGAAACCATTATGTGTGTCCTATGGCAGTTTCGATGGTTCTCCTTTTACAAAGTTGACAGTCATAAGAACATGAGATCCATGTGGAAGTGGTATCGTCCTCTCCTCCAAAATAACGTTATTTCCTCCTAGATTGGCATTGAACGAAATTCTCAGACACTTCACGGGAACAACATTTGCAACCATGGAGGTAAGCACATTGGTATTTTCCAACTAATAAGCATCTCAACGCTAGCAGCAACAAGCACATGAATGGTGTGTCCATGCACAGAAGATTTAGCTAGAGCACAGCATGACATCCACGAGCCAAAAGAATGCAAGTTGACATTCTAGAAAATTGACACTGGCACCATTGCCGGACACGCTGGAAACAGACATTGAACTTGCAAAACTCGGAGATTACTCATTTCCTACAGTACTAAATTGAACAGGGTATTTATACAGAAATGTAATCGCACTCATAAACTGTGCCCAAAACAAAAATCGCCCTCATAAACAAGGACAGTCATGTGCCATTTGTACATAAATATACTTACTGGAGATAGATTGAATGACCAAGGAGTGGAGAAAAATTGCTTGACACATTCAAAGTATCAGTGTGAGCGAGCTTAGATGAGGAAAGATGTTTTCACCCTTCATGTGACCTTGACCTTACATATTCTTCTGAAAGTGCTTACCAAGTTTTATCAGTACTCTGTCCTGCTTCTGTCGATTCCTAAACATCTCAAGAGCTTATGTCCTTTCTCTGATGTATTCGGAATGATGTCAAGCGGAACCAGGTCTGACGAGGTTTCTTAAACATCGAAATTTGAATAATGAACAAGAGAAACCAAACAAATTCTCAAACGAATTATCCTGTAACATGCCGAATTGCCAATTAGTTGATCTATTACAGTTGCAGGCCACAAAACACTGAGCAAAAAGCAGCATAAATCACACGGAATGTCAATGGCCAATAGCGGCTGAATCTTGAGAAACCATTTAAAATTTGAGCAGCTATGCCAAAAAAGAAGTTAAACTCAATATTTGCACTATTTCCAAGCTCCTTAAAATCCTTAAGTTGCTAAATTGTCCCAACAATATTTTATGCACGAATTGGTCCATCAACCTCAATTTAGAAAAAAGTTGAGGCATGCTTCTACTTTGGGCAAACCAACTTTACTAGGATATCAGTAATTCAGGATGATCTTGATGTTGCCAAATTGGTGATGCGCTCAACCCGCCTCTTGTTAGTTACCAAATATCAATATAAATCTAATACAGTCAGCTTATTATTGACCAAGAAATTGTATACTTTGACTTAAAGTAGAAACAGAAAGTGAGAACTTGGACTAATGATGTCATAAGTTTAATCACACTGCAGCCAACACTGAATTTTATTTGTGGTTTCAATCAATTACTACAGGGAAAACTACTTCACTCCCATATTTTACAACACACCAAATGAAAGCTTGACTGTGTATTGTGGCTCTGTATTGTGGCTCAAAAGTCATGAACTGACGAAACCTAATCGACACATCATGTTAGAAATAACAGATTTTCAACTAAAATGCAATTGAACGAGCATTGATGCTTTTGGGAATTAAACTGTCAAATCTTACAACGTCAATAACTAAAACGCACAATCTGGTGAACTCAAGGACCAACGATGTTATCTTCCTGCTACCTATAGTAAGAGAGAGTAACCTTCTTCTATCAGCAGCATATTTTTGTTGGGTCATATATCAGCAGAAGAGTTACTTTAGCAAACATCACCAACATGTGTCAATGTCAAATAAGCAAACAAGATAACTAGATCAAATTGCAAGTACATCAGAATTAAACCCCATGTGAGTACCTATATATGGATCAACCTCAAATGGTTTCAAATTGCAAAGATAGATTCTCACTAAGTTGTAAACCAATTTAAGTTTTGAAGCTTTTTAGATGATCCCTTTAGCAGCTCTAACGCTTGCTAAAAGCATTCCACCAAAACAAAACAACATGAACTTCCATGAAGTGTAAAAGAATTGAACCTGGAGATACCTTAGAGTGATCTAGTCTGACCAATAATGAACCAACAAAACCAGGAACAAAGAGATTATTATCATTCTTTTGCTAGGACAACTAGCAGTTGCAATGGGTTAGGAGCCCCAACTAACAGTTGCATACATCCAATCAACCATCTGAAACTCCCAAAAAATAACATAAAACATCATACAGATAAGTAAAAGAATACACATCACTAGTCCAGAATAACTTCTAGTGGAAACAGTAACCAACCCAAATACAACAACTAAAGTCTAAGTATCTCTAATCACTCTGGTTCTCTAATATTTGTGTCATATGCTTCCCTCCTTCAGTAGAGCGAAATCCAACATAAGGTACCTACAACCTAACCAGCCATGAAATAAAAACATGTTTTCTCATCAAACCATGTTCTGCTGGAAATAATTGGTTGTCTGGAGAGTGTGCATCCTCTCCTTACACTAAAACTAGACAATCCATGTATGGAATGACTTCGAAGGATCTCGCTACACCATACAATCCAAGCCGACTAATTCTCTGACTCCTCGAGTCATATGAAACCAGCTCGTCATTGTGAGTCACGAGCAGAACGTCCCCCTGTTTCCTAAAACCTAACGCCCTCCCGATCCCGCCGTGCTCTCCGATGTTAATGGTGAACAGCTTAGCCCAGGAGTCCGACGAGCCGTATTCTTTCATGACCCAGACCCAACAAACCCCATATAACTGATGCCCATCCTCTTCCATCGGATGGCAATGCAACAAGCAAATCGAATCTTGATGCACGGCCAGCGACAAATTCAGCCTGTTCACATAATCCCCGCCTTTCGGCAACTCCATTTCCCCAAACACCTCGTCGTGCATATGGTATAACACCACAATCGACCTCGGATCAGAAGCCACCTTATCATCCGGGTTATACCCAATCCAATGGATAGCCCCATTCAAAAACGCCTGAGACGAAGATTCTGGTATGACATAAGGAACCGCCGTCTGGATCCCTCTCCAAGCATTAGTTTTAAGTTCATAGACCTCGACCTCCGGCGGCACTAGCACCGACCAGTTCCTCCCCAGAATGTAAATCAACCTCACGACCTTGTAATCGACGCGCCGCGAATCGAACCCGAACCCAAGAACATACGTGTGCGTGAGATCAGTATCGATGAACCGCGGGACCGGCAACTGCACGCACTTCCTGAGAGAAGGGTTCCAGAGGATTACCTGGAGGTGGTTGATGATATAGTTGGAAAAACAGAGCAACCCATTACAGGAGCCGGCGAGGTAGTAAGTGTCGTTGGTCTTCAAGGGGAATTCGAGCTCCTGGTGCTCCAGGAACGACTCCCCGTCGAGGTACAGGGTGTTGCGCTCCCTGCGCTGGGTGAGGGAGTAGTGGCGGAGGAGGACGACGGAGCGGTCGTGGCACGCCATGGCGCGGCGGAGGTGGAGGGAGACGAAGGACCGGTCGGTGATGAGGGAGTCCCACGACTTGGAGACGCATCGGAAACGGGCGAGGGATCTGACGGGCAGCTTCACGAGGATCTCGATCAGGATCTCCTGGGGGAGGTCGACGACGTCGTCACGCATCTTCTATTCTTCACCTTCGCTTCTTTACCTCCTTCGATGGCGGGCGGCATGCGTGCGCAGGGGCTCGCTGATGACGATGAGGATGGTGAAGACAATCTTTTGCATGGCGATCGAGCGAGAGAAGCTTCTCAGATCTCATCTACTTCCTCGCCGCTATCGGTCGGAACCGAGGTCAACCAAGACGTCCTCCTAATTTTTTTTTTCTTTTTTTTTAAGGTCGAACGAGAATTTACTAAGCACGTTTAAATTTGAATGATTCAAGTTTTAAGGTATTAGTTACCCATAATACGAAAAGGATCGATAAATAATTTCTTGCACATTTTTATAAATAAAAAAAGTAAATGACACAAATGGTCTCTGAACTTTTGCTCATATAATGTGGTCCACGAACTTTAAACTTTAATCTAATATGCAATATTGTAAGGGTGAGCATGCTTACAGGGAAAAACCTGGAACTTAAGAACCGGATCTGTAGAAACCTGTTAGGTTTCGGGTTTTAAAGTATGCAGGGAAAGTTCGAGGTTTCAAAAATTGGGGAACTTGTTTCAACGTGTAGTTTTGATGTTCTGGGTAGATAGAACCTAGAACCTATAACAAGTTTTTTGTGTTTTTCTTTGTATGTGTCTTGGCGCGATCTTGCAGTATTCCATACCGTCTGATGATGAGTGTATAATATAGAATCACTAGTATGAACTTCCATTTTATGACTGAGACTTTTACTTTGTTAATATTTCATATTTTTCATGTGTTTAAATATAAGTTATGGTTAATGGATTGGAGCAATAAGTAGTGGTTATAAAAGGTGATGTTTAACTACAATTGTTCAATTTTGACAACAACAAAAATTACAATCGTTCAATTAAAAATATAAGTGGAACTTGGGTAGACCCTGGAACCTGTGACAGGGTAGGTTCTAAGTTCCAAGGTATACAAGGTTAGGTTCCAAGTTCAAAAAAATGAAGAACTTGTTCGAACGGGTAGATTTCAGGTTGCAGGTGAAATACTTACGGAATCTGGAACCGCTCACCCCTACAATGTTGTCTCTGAACTTTTAATTTGTTTAATGTGATCCCCGAACTTTTGATACATGTTCAATTTAATTCATGAAGTGTATGAAAATATTCATTATTGTACATGGACTTGAAGGACAACATTGAACATTTTCATACAATCCATTGATTACATTGAAGATGTACCAAAGTTCAATGACCACATTAAATAAATTAGAAGTTACCATATTGAAAGAATTTAAAGTTTAGAGACCACATTACACGTTTGGCCAAAATTTAGGCACCACTTATATTATTATCCCAAGAAAAACCATAAGAGATCATCCTATTTTTCCAATAAATAGAAGAAAAATTATTGGGGACCCAAATATACTAGGATAAAGGCTTGGGGTTTACTATGATCTTCGAGAAATCAATTTTCCTTCTTAAAGTATCTTCCTCGAAATTAGTTTTTATGTAAAGTGTCGTTCCATACAAGTAAATAAATTTTCGTCATTCATTGGAAGTAATTTAATTGTATGGGTGGTATGAAATTTTGTGAGAAATTACAACGTCATTTCATATGACACGTTACGAGAGGAATTGGCTTTTCTATGATTATATGAAATTCCATATAAAGACTCAAGTTATTTAACTTGAAATTTAATGATAAGAATACTTTTTTCGAGATGTGTTATTCTTGAAACTTACCTTTCATTTCCTTATATATATATATATATATATATATATATATATATATATATATATATATATATATATATATATATATGGTCAGACATTTCCTTATATTTGATTGGACATATTTTAGTAACGAGTTTGAAGTCATTTCACGTCTCAAATCCCGGGGTTCAAATTTGTTAATTGTGTATGTGCAGCTTGAGCTATAGTTGAGCTAAGTTAGGTCAATACACCGGCAAACTCAAGGTCGACTCGATTTGTAAATTTGGTGCTCGAAACTCAACTCGATCTATATGGAGTAACCACTTTTTCAACGGGGACCATGGTAGAAAGCCGAGATATTTGAGCTCAACTTGGCTTGATTACAATTAACTTATAAATGGAGTCGAGCTTGACTTCAATAAGCTCGAATATTATGCAAGTCCTAAGGATTTTTTTTGTCTGCTATTGCCATCATTAAAGAACGTTGAAAGGCTCGTGAGCAAGTTGAGCCGAGTATCGACGAGCTCAAACTTGACTCGTAAATATCTTCGAGCAGCTTGAGCTTGAGCCCGACAATTGGAAGAGTCGATCTCGAGTAATCATCGAGTCTAGTTTGAGCTACTCACAATGAGCTATGAATAGCTTGACTCGGTTTTCACCACTACGCGCAGCCGCGGGTGCAGATGGATTCAACCAACAAACCTATACACTACCTATAATATTTTATTTAGGATTAATACCACGAAAAATCCCAAATTGATACACATGTGATGAATTTACCCCAAACTAATTTTTTGATCACCAAAAACCCCCAAACTGATTCATTTGTAATAAATTTACCTTCCGTTAGTTCCCGTTAAATTTTACTGTCAAATTGCTTTGTTAAATGACACGCGGCAGTTAACAGATATACCAGTTTTGGTATCTATCCTCTGTTTGTCATAGGTGTAGCAGTTTGTAATTTTTTGTGGTATTAATCTAATTTAACGGAAACTAACGGAAGGTAAATTTGTCATAAATGTATCAATTTGGGGTTTTTTTTGGTTAAAAAATTAATTTGGAGTAAAATTATCATAAAAGTACCAATTTGGAGTTTTTCATGGTATTAACCCTTTTATTTATGAGCCATCGGTCTCATTTTATGATTTCGTTCAACATAAGCACCTTCTTCTTTGCTCTCTTCTTTAATGGTTTTTCAATCAGCATTCCTATTTTGCCTATTTTCTTCTCAAGGCACATGTCCTTTTGGTCTCGTCTTCGTTTTCGGCTGCGAAATTGGGAGAGAGAGCCCCACACGTTTGGGGAAGGCTCTGGAGGACGGGGTCAATCGAGTCCCGCCTTCCTCTTCTAGGAATTTTTTCCAACAGGCCATAGGAAAATCCTCATGAATAAGTTAAAATATTGGCAGAAAGCCGGGGCACGTTGCACGAGGGGAAATTTCCAAATCCTAAACTAATTGTACTTCTACAAATTCAGTTATAAACCTTTTTAATTGTGTTAATTTAATATTAAACATTTTTATATTTTACCAATTAAGTTCATTTGACCAATTTTGGTCATAAATCGCTAACGAGGATACTGGTCGTTCTACGTGGCACAATCGACGCTATTATGGACTAAGTGTCGCCAAGAGTCGTCGCCCACAAGTGAGGGCTTCTCGGCCCTTTGCCGAATTTGGGCGGGGGCTGCAATGCCCTCGCTTGAGCTGGGTGTTACGGCCTGGCTAGGCGAGAGGCCGCACGCCATTGCTTTGGCCGGCGAGGGCATCGAGCAAGGGCCGCAACACCCTTGCCCAGTGCCAGCAAGGGTCACTGACCCTCAATAAAAAAAAAAGTATGAAAAATGAAAAAAAAAGACCAAAAAAATAATAAAATATTTAAAATATTATTAAAAATGTCCACATTAATGTTAGCCGTGCCACGTAGGATGGCTGGTATTCACGTTAGTGATTTCTAACCAAAATTTTCCATATTGACTCAATTGACAAAATATGAAAATATTTAATACTAAATTGACACAATTGAAATATTTAGAACTGAATTGGCACAAATATAATAAGTTTATAATTTTTTTGGTAATTGTCCCCAATGCACGAGACGACACTGTCGACGTTTAGTTATATGCAGAATCAAACTTGCATACCCCAAAAAAAAAAAAAACAAGAGTTTTTCTCTATTGCACTTTGGCATGTGCTCTAAAAGTTCCCAAACCGGCAAGTCCGACGTCCAAACTCGAATGGATGAGCAAGCAATTTAAGTAAGGTTTTTGAATTTTCTACGGAGTCAACGACGTCGGTGGTCTCCTATACTCTTCGTTGAAGTTTGAAATCGTCTCTGTGTTTTCATTTGATTTGAAAAGTACTTTCATCAAAAAGGCGTCCACGACGATGTTAAAAGTCAAGTCCGCCTCGCCGAAATACTAGGGCGAAGATCGAACGCTTATTTGGACAAATGAGGCTTTTCCGATCCTCTGATTTTCACATTGCACGTTTTTATGTGATGCTGAGCATGAGCCAAATTCGTAATTCGGAAAAATAAAAAAAAGGTTAATACCATGAAGAACCTCCAAATTTGTACATTTGTGACAATTTTATCCCAAAACTAATTTTTTGACCACTAAAAACCTTAAATCGGTACACCTATGACATAGTTTATGTCAAATTTTCCGTCAAATTGCTGAATTCGATGACACTTCGCAGTTGATGAGTGTACCGATTTGGGGTTTTATTCCTCTGTTTGTCACAGGCTTACCAATTTGTGATTTTTCTTTGTATTAATCCAAATTTTTTTGTCTGTATTAATCCAATTTAAAGGAGGTAAATTTCTCACACCAGTTTGGGTTTTTGATGGTAAAAAAAATTAGTTCGAGATAAATTTATTATAAATGTACCAGTTTGTGATTTTTAGTGGTATTAACCCAATAAAAAATGACAATAACAATAGGATAGGGGGATGAGGGAAGGACGGAGAGACTCGTCAAAAGATAAAGGACATGCAACGGTTATCAACCCTCCTCTGACATCGAATCCAAAAGGTGCTTTAGGTTTCCAATTAAATTTCTACCGTATAACCACTAAAGAGTATAAATTTCTACCATATATCCATTAAGGTTGCTTTTGGTCATCCAGGTTTCTAATCAGGATAGTACTGAATATGATAAGATAATAAATCCTTAGATTTTATCATATCCTATTTACTATTTGGTGAACTGCGAATTTAAAGTCGGATATTTTTATAACATAGCCTATTCATTGTTAGGTAGATATTGGATATCAATATAAATGATATATAGGCCCCTACGTAGTCCCTATGAAATAATATCAATCTTATCATTATAAATAACAAAAACGGCACTTCCTTTTGTCGATATGTTTATGAGAGCGGTAATTTTTTTTTGTTTTCAAACTTGTGTCAAAAATTAATTAAAGGGCCAAAATAACGATTGGTATTCTTGAAGCAATGGATTGATAAGGTTTGCTACTATGATGCATGCACAAATTCACAATCCCCAAAACTTTCACTATCACCTTCCATAGTAGAAGAAGAAATTCATCGTCAGCATTTTGGCCGTTATGATCATATTTCTACATGCGCAACACATCCTTTCCCCACAAGATGTCCTTACACCAAAACCATTGTGATATGTACACTTTGAACACCTCGAGCTCAAAAATATATCCACAGGCTCTTGGTTTAAACTACAATTCAGTCACATTATACAATTGGTATTTAATTCACTTGAAGAAGGAAAACCGAAGCATCGAGGGAAAGAAAACTCTAATGGACATTTCATCGAATAGATTACGTGCAACTGGTTAGAGAACAAGACATGGGTAACTCAAACTCAGATTCGCAACCATACACAACGTTTGCAATCGAAGCAATAAACTTAGACGTAACAAAATGGATCCTAGCAAAACACATAATACTATTTTCCTCAAAATAGAGTTGTATATGAGATTCGAATCTTACATGGTTAATGAGCAAATCCGAGACTACTGATGGTAGCTTGAGAGATCAATCACCTCCTAGTTAGGAGAACTGAAAATAAAACAATAGAAAGGTTTTCCTTCAAAAGCTTGAGTTTAAATGGTGAAGGAAAAAAACTGGGACAAGAATGTTGAAATTCTGGAAAATGAAGAGCAAAGTTCAGCAACAAAGATTTCGCGGATTAAAGCTTGAACTCACTGGGGATGGAGCTTGAATTTGTCAAATTAGAGCTACAGAGAAGAAGACAGTTCGACTCTCCCTGCTTTCGTGAAGCCTGGACATGAGAGGAGTTGCGCATACCCTAGGGTTTTGTGAAAAATAGCTCAACAAAATAAATTCTATTAGGATCTATCCCACCTCCCCTTAGGAATTTTTTATTTGGGTTATATTCCATCTATATTCTATTTTATTCTATCCTGAAAACCTACTAAACACAAGATAGGATAAAACATACCCTAAACCCTAAAACCCAAACCCCGAACCCTAAAACCCTAAACTGTAATTTCCTCGACCACCACTCGATATTTACTTTGTCTATAAGGAGTAATTTTCTTTATGATTGTATTAATTTCATCCAATTCTATATCATAATATATTTTGATTCTATATCTAGTTCAGTCCAAACATGAATTATTAAATCTCCACTGATATTTTTATAATTAAATGAAAAACTGGGAGTAGAAGTTTTTAAGGTCGTACCAAATGCATTTATGTTCTTTTTCTATTTCGGGAATAAAAATTTTGTGCAGTTACCAAACGTGTTCTTCTGCTCAGAAACTCGTTAATGGAATAAAAATAGAAAAAATTATTTATAAACATAAATTGTTCTCGGGAATATAAACGTTACCAAACAGACCGTTCAAGTCAAAATGTATGCACATCCCTTTAAGACTTACGTTTGTCTTTCAATATTTATAGTTTTCTTAGAATTAATTCATAATAGTGGAATAGTTTCATATTTTGCAGAGTAAAAATAATTTTTTTTCTTAAATTGTTACCAAGAAATAAATGTGTTATTTTTTTTAAGAAGATACATTATTTTCTTGCCAAAAGAAGCACGTGTTGCTTTTGTTGATTTTAATTAATTGATATCTCTGTCATTTAGATAATTTACTTAATACCTTTGCATAGTAGAAATATATATACTTAAACGCTCAAACTAACTAATATTATTTGGCATAACTAAACATTATTTTTGCTTAAGAAACATTTGAATAAATCAAAATCGGGTTAATCGATTTTGTTGATTATGAAATAAAACAAAAATAAATGAATCCAAAAACATCTCAAATTTATAGGATTTTTCGTAATTGATCCCTAATTCAACCTTTTACCTATAAAAAATACTAAAGTGTGATATATTTCCAAAAGGTATAGTAATAACCAAATAATAACCAAAATATTCTTTATATATATATATGGACTTAAACCCTAGAACCCTCGACCCTGTGCCGGTGCACGTCCGAGCTTTTCTAGCTTGTACATCAACGTGCGTCTAACCTGGTTGTCCGAACTCGAAAGCCCCATAAGACGTTCTGAAAGCTCGCTCTGAACTCTCTGCCACCGTCATCTTGCAAGGTAGATGCCATTCTAAGCCCATGTTCTTGTCTTCAGCATCGCGTTTCATGCTCTGTCTGTGTTGTTTGGTCTCATGTCCTTGGTGGGTATCGCTTGAACGAAGACGTCGGGCAATTTATGGGCAATCTTTTGGGGCTGCAAGAACGTGTTTAACATGTACAGGGCAACTGTTTTTGCGTTTATCTCGAGTTATCCATGGGCGTTGTTTTACATCCTTGTGCCTGAAATTTTGTCCAATCAACTGGGTGTGTACTTGGTGGGGTTAAACTTAATTTTGATGCATCTGAAGTTATGTACTTGAGGAATTTGTAGGCTTTGCGCCTCTTATGGTGGGTAATTTTACTGTGAAGTAAGTCCCCGTCTTCGTTCTCGTTGTTTTATGTGATCTTCAGCACCGAGGTAGTTTTTCTAATGAAGTTGTGGATTTTCTCCTAATAGGCAAGTAAATTTTGGCAATTATTCAAGACGAAGCATGTTGCTGCCCGATGAAGAGATTACCAGATTGTTTAGAGTCCGGATAACAGTTTTACAAATGCTTAAGGATAGAGGCTACGCCATTGAGAAATCTGAGCTGGAAATGACAAGAAAAGATTTTGTCCAGAAGTTTGGAGAGAACTTGAAGAGGGAGGATCTTCTCATCTTGAAAAACAAAGAGAAGGATTCTTCAGATCAGGTATATGAGTTATTCTCTTCCTGATTCAAAATTTCGGGTATTATTTTCAGTTATCTCTTCTCGTGACATAGTTCTGTACATGTTTTAGAAAAAGCAAGATATTTAGTTCAGTAGGTGGATCTTGGTTCTGCATGGTGTTAAGTCAGGTTATGAGATTTTAGAAAGCACCCTTTTAGCTGTTGACTTTTGATGGCGGGCTTCTAAAATTTGTTGGAACTGTTGAATCAGTGTAGAGTGGGTATTGCTATATGCTTTTCTGTGTATGTATCCTGTAAAGCATACTTGATCTCTAAATAATTTCATTAGCAAAAGTGCATAGGGTTTCCCTTCTACTGATTGACTTAGGCAATTGGATATCTCTAGTGAAATTTCCTTCAGTGCTCTGTTATATGCCAGGATTCTTTGTCAGCACTTTTCTTGTGGTCAGAAGGCAAGTGGCGGGCTGTTGTTTTTTTTTTTTTGGTCGATTCAGGCTGTTGTTGAGATGGTTGTTTTCTAGAGTCTCTCTTTATTCCAAGATTGACTTATACTTTACGATACTTGCCCACTATTATATTGTCTTTTACAGAATAAAATGATTCAGTCTCATCAATTCTTTTAAGTAGTAAACTAGTAGGAAGAGAAAAGACAATCGTGTTTTGTTATTTGACATTGAAGATAGTGTACGCAATCCCCTTATAAGGCTTCTTCATTACTACATTCATGTGTTCTTAACATAAGAATCTTGCCTCTGCATCTCTAGGGATGTCAAATTCATATTCTGGAGTTGTTACCTGAATGTGTTTAAGATGCTCATTCTTTTGCAAAAACTGCCCTCTATCATTGACATCGCAGCAATATTGAGATACTTTTGAATGCTCTCTTATTGCTGGTTATTACTGGAATAGATTTACGTCTTTTTTCCTGAGGGAACAAAGGCGGGCGTGCCTGTGGTAAAGGCTTTTCTCAATCGCATGAAAACAGATAACGTCCCCAGTGCAATCTTGGTTGTTCAGAAGGGTCTGACTCCCCCTGCCAAAGCGGCTGTAACCGAAATTAATGCATGCTTCCGGATGGAGGTTTTTGAGGTAAATGAATAAATTGCATTAGGAAGTCATTTAAAGGAAACTATTGTTGCATTGATTGTCAGTTTCTAGTTCATATAATTGTGAGCCTCTGCTGCTTTGAATTTGCTTCTTGTAATAAGGTCAGACTTTGATCTTATAGGCAGCTTCTGATTGATACATAGAATATAAATATAAGTGGGTCACCTAGAACGACATTTTTGGCTGTGTCTGCACCTTTCGATATAACTTTTTGAACTTTGACTTGGACATATTATACCCACGTGGAAATGCATAAAAATTATGATCAATGCATCAATATGTTGGACTGAGTTGAATAGAAAATGCGTGACAATTTGTTCTTGACTTGTTTAATAATGCTCTTAAATCATGCCTGAGTGGTTTTATTATTGAGTGCTAGTTTCTTAGGTAAAACTAATATTTTGTGATGTTGTCACTTGTGAATTGGCATTGAGTTTGGTAACTGGTATTGCAGCGCTGATTATGTATATGTGTGTGTGTGTGTGTTTTTTTTTTTTTTGTGGGGGCGTGTGTAAACTCATACACAAGAGTGCAAGATGGAACAAAAATAAATGAGCACAAGACACCAAAAAAGGGCTGCATTACAAGACAAATAAGAATGTCAATCGATGCATTCACATCCACGTGCATGATTCCGCTGTACCAAACATGTAAAATTTTTAGCCAATTTTTTATTAAAACAAAAAAGGAAGATGCCTAAGTAATAGTGTGGACATATTTTTCAAAGGCTCTCCAGTGTACATACTTATGAATGAGTTATTACATCATTCAATCTTTCTCCTTATACTTTGCATTTGTCTTGTTTCCATTGTTCATCCCAGTGCAGTGATTTTTTCAAGAGTTATGGAAATCTGCAAAATGCTGTAGCTTCTGAAATACCAGATGTGCTATGGTTTGTTGGAGTTCTTGCGAGATATAATTATAATGTTTTTGTGCCAGAACAGTTTCCTATTTCTTTTTTATTAAATTTATTCTTGAGAAAAAAACATACCGTTTCTTTTTGACCTTCTATTCCCTACCATGCTGATGAATCTTTTGACACATTAAAACATTCTATCAAAGTAATTACCAACATTGTGTTAAAAGCAAGTTTAAATGTTTGTAGTGATTCTCTTTCCTTTCTGAATGCTGGAATGGTTCAGGAAGCAGAGTTGCTGGTTAATATCACAGAGCACGCCTTTGTTCCTCAGCACAAGGTGCTTAGCAGTGAGGAAAAGAAGGAAATACTGGCAAAGTATGGGGTAAAGGAAACACAGGTTAGTTAATTAGATCTTTCAGATAACAGAAATAAGCTTAGAATTCCGTTCTTATAGCCCTAATGAGAATACAAATTGTACTAGGGTGTTTCCCCCAGTGGCATGATAGTATTGTTATCTTTTACATTATTATTTTTCACTCTAGGAACTGACTTTATTGTATTACCTCAACAAAAGTCACAGCTGTTAACTGAAGAAGTTTTTTTCCTTTTTCTTCTCCTTTCCCTCGTGTTCTCTTATAATGCTTGCAGAGCAAGCGTTGGTTTCTGTGGGAGAGTGGGATATACTTAGTCTAACATGTGGTGTGATGTGATTTTCCACTTGCTGAAATCTAGCATTTGCATGCTACTGATTGTCTAACTGGAACCAATGGAGCTTATTTCTATTGAACATATAACGTGCAATTTTTCTCACTTCTACTCGAACTAGAAAGCTGATATCTCCAACTGTAATTCTTTTCTCTAATACATTAAAGGCAGTAACATCTTACTGACTGTAATGCCTTGTCCACCTTTATTTTCAGTGGACATACAGTTAGGAACCTGGTCGCTTGTTTTTTTTTTTTTTTTTTTTTTTCTGTTCTTTGTATATTACCTTTGTGAATTACTCTTATCGTTGGGAAGGGGATACAGCATTGGGCTTCTTATCATCAGTCACAGATTTTTACTTGAAATAAATCACAACAGTTGATTCTCAGTCTATATAGTCCTGCCACCTGCATCTTGTTCAAAGAAATCAATAGCTCCAATCTCGATTTCTCCACCTCCTCTTTCTATGTCAGGAGAGAATACTGTGTCATGGAAGGAATTCCTCAGAATTTTCTTCCTCATAAATATCTTTCAGTAAGTCCAAGGTCCTGTTGTTGCCTTCCAAACCCTCCAGCTTCTGCACATTCTTGTCATCATGATATTTGATAGATCGCAACAATATGTTAATTGTCTGCCACATTTAGCTATCTGTTTTCCTCAGCTGTCATTTTCTTCGGTGATGACATCTATCACGATGAACCATCTTTTTCTAAGCTCTTGAGCTCTGGTACCCTTTGAGATAGTGGAATTGCCGTTCTCACAGAATTAAAGATAGGAGAGAAAAGAATAGTTGTTAAGAAAGCCAAAATAGCTGAATGTATAATTGCAAATACTTAATGAGAGAAAAGACAACTTGCAATAGGGTTTAAACTATTTATTTTTACTTGGAACAATCTTAGAGTCTCATTCTTAGGTATTTCATATGCTAGAAAATTTTCTGATCTCAGCCCTTAAACCTAAGTAAAAATCACACGACTTTTTGCACTCTAAAAAGACAACTATGTACTGAACAAATAACTACCGCAACTTCAAAACTAATTAGCCTGGTTAATGTTCATTAATAGATTAAGTTTCTCAATGCTCCAGCATGATTCAACCTTTGTTTGGCAGCTAAAAGAATGTAGTCAATTGCATTTAGGAAAATAATCTATCCGAGTTTGGTGATGTCAAATCAGTGTGCCTCTTTTCCTCTTTTTTTGATTCGGGAAGATTGGTGTGCCTTTTACTAGTTGATTCAGTATGTAGCAAAGTTTCCAGACAGTCCTTTACAAAAGTAATCTCAATTCCTGAAATCATGCAACTAAGCTAGCAATGGGAAGCTCTTTCCTTCATAGCAAGGACCTTTCACAGGGTTTTCATGGGACTTTTCAGCTTTTATGCTACTATATATGTTTTGGCCATAAGCTTTTACCCTAATATGGAGTAGCAGACCTGCTGATTATAATAAATAAGAGCATTTTTCAATGTCTATTATAAGTAGAAGCTCTCCAATTGATTTTGCATTTATGTTGTGATTTTGCGCTTATTTGTTATATCTTGTAGCTTTTCAAGATTTTCTTCATGAGTTTATCCTTATAAAATCTGTCTTCCAACATTTGAAGCACCCTGTTTCCAATCGGCAAAGGTACACCAGAAGTGCCACAACTTGTGTACGGCGATCACTTTGGTGTCATAACTTTTTTTCGGATCACTTTGGTGCCAAGTCGGAGGAAAATAGATCACTTTAGTAACTCCGGCTACAATTCCGGCCAAAAAGCTGACCTGGCATTTATATTAAAAAAAATATGGTCTGATTTGTACACGTGGAAATTATGTGGCTTTTTTTCGAATTTTTTAATTTTTAGAAAAATAATAAAAATTAAAATAATTAAAAAAAAAAAAGTTTGCAGTAGCGGCGAGGGAGCCCTCGCCGCTGCTGCCGCTAACCCACCATCGCCGGAAGGGCCGGCGGTGGTGGGCGCAGTGGTCGGCGAGGGTCGCCGGCCCCGGCCGGCCCGGCGACCTTCGCCGAGCCCGAGGGCCGGATCCGGCGAGGCGAGACCTCGCCGTCGCGACCGAGCGACGGCGAGGTCGGTCTCGCCCGGTGAAGGCGAGGCCGCACCTCGCCATGGCGACCCAGCGACGGCGAGGTCTCGCCGCCAGCCGAAGGCGAGGCCGGACCCGCCGTCGCCGAGTCGGGACGGCAAGGTCTCGCCTCGCCGGATCCGGCCTCGCCGGGCTCGGCGAGGGTCGTCGGCCCCGACCGGGGCCGGCGACCCTCGCCGACCACTGCGCCCACCACCGCTGGCCCTTCCCGGCGGTGGTCAGTTGGCGGCAACAGCGGCGAGGGCTCCCTTGCAGCTGCTGCAGGCTTTTATTATTATTATTATTATTTTTATTTAACATTTAATTTTTTTTAAAAAAAGTACACGTCAGCGGGCTAAACGGCGTCGTTTTTGGTTTTTAATGCTGACTGGACCTCTCCGACGAGCCGTGTCAGCACCACATCGGATTTCCGGCGAGCCACGTTAGCATTGACACTAAAATGATCGTTTTTTAAAAAAATTGACATCAAAGTGATCCGAAAAAAAATTATGGCACCAAAGTGATCGCCGTACACAAGTTATGGCACTTCTAGTATACTTTTGCCGTTTCCAATCACTAGCCAATTTTAGTCTGCTGCATTGCTTTCAATCTTTTCTGTTCAAGACATACATTTATTAGTTCAAAACTTTTTTATGGCTGGGTCGACTAACATTGGTAATTTATAGTTTCTAATTGCAATGTAATCTGAATTTCCCTTTTCGTGTGGCAGCTGCCTCGTATCTTAATTAGTGACCCAGTTGCTAGATACTTTGGGCTAAAGCGTGGACAAGTTGTGAAGATCACGAGGGAAAGCGAAACTGCTAAGACATACGACACATATCGTTATTGTGTGTGAGCCTTCCTTCTCCATTGTCATTCTTGAATTGCTTGCTTGATTCACATCCTCAAATTGCTGGCTCGGGAGTGATCAGCGAGGAAAAGTAATTAGCAGCAGTTTGGAACTGACATACTGGTGCATGAACTCCGCCAAGCGATCTTCAACCAACGGATTCACCCTCTTTTTTTCCCTTTTTTTTTTTTTCATCTATGGCTTCTGAGACGATTTAGTACCACATTTCAGACCCTTTAGGCATATTTTTTTTTTTCTGGGAAACTTTTTTTTTGTCATCCTTTATTGCTGTGGAGGGATGCTAGGGCAATGTCTCAACACAAGCTATTCATATGGCTTCTGAAATGCACCATTCGAATGGAGAAGTGAAAGAATGTCTTTTTAGTTCTTTCATCAAAACTTAATGGGTCTGTTTCTAGTGTTCCAACATTTGTTTTAGTCAATACTAAGCATCATTGACTAGAATCTCAGAGCCAGACTCGTTTAATTTTTGTTGATAGGGTAGATTCAGTCATCAAAATTCCAAAGAAGAGAGAGTTGAGTGGTGAGTGAGATTATTAGCCAAGAGGATATCCTGTTCTTAACTAATCAACTTATAAAAAATAACTTACGTTCTTAACATTAAGTCGAATTATGCTCTTCACAGATTCAATTGATTAATTCATCATCGTGTAAATCTGCAAAATCTGTGAAATTTGAAGTTAAGTCTCCCTAGTCCACAATATATAAGTACTCAACATTCTGCTGCAATTTACAATCTATTCTTTTGTTGAGCATCTTGTTGGAGAATTACTTATGCCTTTAGATATCTGGGGCTTTTCCCAACACAGTAATATGAAAATCATGTGTCTGCTTGGGCATCATATGCACCGTGCGGAAGGGATACGTTGGAAAACATGCATTAGCAAATGAGAGTTTTCAATATGCAAATTCGAAATTGGTTAGATAAATATTGCGCCGGCAATGTAATTGATTGTTCATAAGACGTCAGCTGTTGCACTGCTCCATGCATCACTTTTGACTGCTATACACTTAAAAGGACAGCCGGTTTCTTCTTGCCCATGCTTTGATCAACTTCTTATGTTGGTTTTTACGTGTGGTCCAGGAGAACATTCCATGCTCTCATAAATTTGCTGAGAGCTAATCTCATATGATGAAACATTAGGTAGAATGACTATATAGTACACATAATAAATTCTAACTTTTTGTTGGTTTGTAGATATCAAGATTAATCCGTTGTTTAGATCGAGTCTTCTTTACGTGATTAGTGTCGAAATAAATTGTTTTAACCCGACATTTATTTCTAACTCGAGGATTAAATATGAATAAGCTTATACCATAATCGTTTATACACAGAATTGATGGACTGATTAGTGTTCATCAAAGAACTCTAGAATATCTGCATTTACTGAGATTTTCCTTTTTTGGTAAGAGCATATGTTTAGTTTAATTCTAGTATTTCGCAAAACAAGCTGTTCGTAGACAAGGCCCATTTTACTAAAAGGTAAAGCAGGCCCAGTGAAGAACCTCGTCTCTGTTGTCTGGTCCCTGTCCCATCAGTACTGAAAGCAAAACCAGCATTTCATTGGGCCACAAAAGGTTAAGATTTTAGAACGTCCCCGATGAACATATAATCAATGCTGGAAAATACCATGACTAATTAGCTAGATTGAGCTGGAACATGAACATTGCATGGTGATTTAAATATTCAGTTAGAGTTTGAGACATTTGGGTAAATCAATTTTACAAGTCAAACTCCGTATCTTAATATTGTTTCTTTGTCGAATGCTTCCAAGGAAAAAGTGAGTTTATTTGCTCATAGTTATCGGTTATTTTCGGCTTCAAGCCTGTTTGTGACTGGAACATAACGTATTGAAACTTGTACGTTTGGTAATCCGCATTTTAAAGCTGCAGCTTCTGGGCGATGCGACCTTCCTTGAAAAGCTATCTAGCCTTGAAGATGCAGCCGTGAGGTGCTTGCCAATCACCTCATAAATTGCAAAACCTCATTTCATAATTGAAACTATTATGGAAAGATTGTATCAAACAGTCTCTTCAACTCATGACTTTTCAAAACTTGAAAGTGAAGGATATTGCCTAACCAATTTAAACTAAAAATCACTGCAGATGACCAGATATTCTTCGAGCATTAGTCTTTTAATATAATTGGTAAGAGTATCCGACGACAAAAATTTGTTATTGCTTATTATTATTGGGATCTCCTATCAAAATCGTAACTAGCTGACTCGTCAATAAAATGCCCATGACCACCTTGCAAATGTTACCCAGATTTGGGCGAACCCATCCATTCTAGAACGAGAACTAGGAAATGGGCTAGTTTCTTATATCAACGGACTGCGCCGAGCACGTTATTAATACTATCTTTTCTTGTAACCTCTCGAGATTTTTACCAAGTGATGATTGATTGCTTAATTGCTATGTGCAAATTCCTTATTTAAGTCACAGTCGGTGATGGTCCTTCACCCCGGCACCATCACATATGCCATCAGCATTTGCCTTGGGCTTCTGCAGATGACGGTGGCGAAATGAGCAGCAACAGAGGCAGAGACAAAACGGGAGGAGCGAGGGAGAGAGAATGAGGTTCTAGGTCCTAGCTTATACGCCAACTTCTCTTATTTATTTATTTTGTTTCGCCAAAAATGGCCGATTTAGAAAATATTGTCCAAAAAAGCATCGTGTGCATCACTTGAGAAAATTAGCTAATAAAAAATATTTCCATCATCGATAACAATTTAAATCCAAATATTTTTGTGAACAATGAAAAAATATTTTGTTCGTTCAATTTTGTAATTGATATAAGCGGTCATTTTTTAAAATATATTTTTCAAATTCATTATTTTTCGCGAAATAAATGAAGTGTTATTTTCTTTATTTATTTATTTTTCCTTAGATTTAACGTGAATGGGAGCGCGACTGGATGTCAAATGGGGCCCTGAGTTCTGACCACCAGGCAGGCCTCTCTCGTGGGTCGCATTATGACGCAGCACATGCACGCAGCCGCAGTGTCAAATCCCTTCGCGAATCTCGGCCTAGATTGGAAGAAGCCATTAAAGCTTTTTTGGTTCATGCCCGCCCAGCTCATTCTACGGTTCTCTCGTGTGATGGTCTCGCCAGAGCAAAAGAGAGCCACATGTGTGATGAGACCGAACGAGCTAAAGAAAGGGTTTTCAAATCCTATAAAAAAAAACCAGAAACAGACAGAAACAGCCAAGTCCCACTTCCATAGAACCCGCAAAGCCAGGTCACTGCATTCTCATCGCGCAGCAGCAGCACCCACGTGGACGTAGACAGGCCTCCCAAGAATGTGCTCGTGCCAATGTCAGAGCAAGTTTCACTAGTCTCCAGTTAGAAGGCTGTTAAAGGTCATCATGACGGTACTAAAACTGATTCAAACATGGTTGCCGGCATGTTGTGAAGGTGGCTTTTGTTAAAAGTTTGACCGTAAAGTTCAGCTGTTACTTGTTTGTCCATCTTGATAGCAGGTGTTTTTGGACTCACTTTAGGAATTACGTAAAGAATAATGCATCTTCGAAGACATTGAACATCGAAAGAGTAATCATGTGCTTTTTCCTTTTTCTTTTTTTAAAAATTTAGGACCACGAACGCAGAGGACCGATTATTTGGAGGCCAATCAAAATCCTGCAAAGGTAATGAACTGGTTAAGGACGTATCTTGGTTTGTGTAAGTGACCCTGATGCAGAGCGATTTGCACACTATAGATAAGATTTAAATAAATGGCATCTAGCTTGACCAAAAAAAAAATGACATCTAGTTTTTGAGCTAAAAATCTCAGGACATCCCAATTGACTGAGCCAACTCTGATGGTTTATTCTATTGATACTTTTTTTTTGTTGCTTCCTTCTCCTCAATTTGTTTTTCTCAATCACCTCTTTACATTGATTTTTTTTATCTAAACAGTTTTCTTATGACATCTATTGGCATATATATTAATAAAGATACTGGTTTTTGTCACTTGTCTTGATTATGTATTATTGGTTCTTTCCATTATAATGATTGGTGGTTACGTTTGAAGAAGCAATATGATGTAACTCATTGTTTGTTCCACAGCTCCAAACTTTACTCAACTAAGGTTGGAATAAAATTATAAGAGTCAATCTATCATGTCATATTGCAAGTCAAATCATAGAACGCGAGGAGTTTACCATCCATATTATACTTGAATAATTTCACTCGCACTCAAAACCATAATCAGCTAAAACTGTGCTAAAATTTGCTGGTTGAAAAATTAAATGCAGTGGAATCGTATGGAATCATAAGTCGACTCCATTTTTTCAAATGTTCAAGTTAGGCTTTTTCCAAAGACCATTGGGCTTTATTCTCTTTTAAAAAAAAAAGCACATAAAGAGTTACCACTTCATAAAGAAAAGAAAAGAAAAGAGGCTAGCCCACAAATTAAATGTTCAAGTTAGGCTTGTTCCAAAGACCATTGGGCTTTATTCTCTTTAAATAGCCCATAAAGAGTTCCCACTTAATAAAGAAAAGAAAAGAAAAGAAAAAAAAAAAGAAAAGAGGCTAGCCCACAAAGATTGGTAATTAAGCGTTGTGATTGTAACTTGGCCCAAAAAAAAAATATTGAAAACATTTCTTGAGTTTGAGCATGAAAATGAAACTTTCCTAATATAAGTAAGTTTTCTATTTTGAATAGGTTTCCTAAAAAGAAGTTTCCTATTTTAGATCCAACTCTCTTCCATATAAGAAGTGTGCTTTTGTTGTGAACAGTTTCCAAGATGATCTTGTGTTCATGAATTACATCCTGAGTGTTTGAAGCAGTGATAATCTTTTGTTAAGATTTTGTGTAATTATTTTATGAGATTTAGAGATTGTTTCGCAAGGAAATATGAGGGTTAAATACTGTGTGAGTTTTGGGTGTAATTGGGAGCAAGGAAACACCGAGTGTATTTGTGTAACTCGAGTGTGGTTGACTTTTATTGTATCACTTAATCTATAGTAGAATTCAGTACTGCTCTCCCTGTCAATGTATGTTCCACCGATCATACCACGTAAATCTAATGTCTAATTTATTTCCTTATTCTATTTATTTTATTGTGCGTTACTTATTTCAGCAACAATTAGTATCAGAGCTAAGCTTAGTTGAGTTGAAGTGAATTGATGGTGATGAAAGATAGAAAAGTAATAATCGATTGATTTGATGGGAAGAATTTTGATTTCTGGAATATGCACATTAATGATTACTTGTACTAGAGGAATATGCACTTGCCCCTATCTGGAGATAAGCCATACTCGATGAAGCAAACTGATTGGGAATTGTCGGATAGACAAGCACTAGGTGTTATTTGAATGACTTTAGCTCATAATGTTCTGTTTAATATTGTGAAAAAGAATACACTGCGGATTTG